CGTATTTCGGTTTTTGACATAATTTGAAAATACCTGTCGCCCTTTAGATTGTGTGTAAATTTTATGGTGAATGGGGACCAAAAGAAACGACCCAAAATGACTTAGAAAAAGTTCTGGTTCCATTGACTTACATTAAAAGTAAAGTATGTTTTTTCCTTCTCCTGTAAAGTTATCATTTTTTGAGGTTTTGTTCCGACAACAGTGACATACTGCTGTTATGGTATGTGTACCAAGCAGCTCCATTCATTAGTCTGTTCTTGAACAGAATCCTTGCAAATTTGCAACGATTACAGTCTCATCCCACCGTGACATATTTTATGGCTAAATATTTTAATTCCTAATGAGCATTTTAGTCAGCGAGCAGTTTACCATGTTTGTGTATCTGGGTCATTCTACAGAAACGTCCACTTTACTATCTGTCCATAGGAGTCACTGGTGTTACTGATCCTCATTGGTGTTACACATAATAAAGGAACCCCAGAGACATTTTTAATGAACAATGCATTTTACTAAATAACTGCTATAGAGCATCAAACCACATGTTGTCAATCATGGAATATCCACTAAAATATGGAATTTAATCCATTTGTGTATTTTTTCACAATTACCTCAGAATAAAGTCGGTCACACCAGTGACTTCAGCTAAAAGCTTCATATGAAATCATGAGCTAAATGAGAAAATCTCTGATAACTGAAAGACACAGTGGACTCACCATGTGCTTTTCTTCATAGATCCTCAGAAAACAGGTAAAAGGAAGTCGAGTGATGTCATCAGTGTGACTTTTATTTCAAAATAAGAGATTTCATGTTACGCAGTAACACCAGTGACACGACTCCTGGGGACAACAACTTTCATTATATATTTTATAATATTTATTTGTTTTCTTTATGTCATTTAAATGTCATGTATAGATTATTGCAGTTAAAATTGCAGAAAAATGGCCTCAGCCTTTAAACGTCACTGTGAGGTCGAGCTCTTCTGTGGTGCTTGGAATTCTATATGATTGATTTAAAAACCAATATTGATAAATTGAGGCTAAAGAAGGTGTAATTGTTAAAATAACTGATTGTTTTATTTTCAAATATAAATAAATTGTAACCCTAACATGTTTTTTGAATATAGTATATCTGTAAATGCTAGGGACACAAAAATGGACGTTTCTGTAGAATGACCCTATTATAACACGTTAATATCACACGAAAAGCTCATCTTTCATTGTCCACGGTGAACTGACTATCTGTTCATTAACTCTCAAAGACACTTCATTATCTGAATTGGTCAGAATGTGCGTCCATACAGCCTCAGTACTCGGTCAGTATGAACATGCAGTTCTGCGTGTGCCTCCTCTGGACTGCTCACCCTGTGCCAAGGCCCACATTACTGGCTGAGCTCCAGCTCCTTCTAGACAAGGCTGTGTTTTATACCGGCCTGCCCCACTGCCCCCATGTCTGTCTCAGCTTACTGTCTGTCTTACTGCCCCCATGTCTGTTAGACCACACTGACTTTATCACGTCTCTATAATAGCGCTCTGCGTCTCTCATTGCCTCTGCGTGTTGTGCACTCGGCCTCAATGCCACCCACTGTCCCTGCTGTACCATTTAGCACAAGACCTGACATTGAGAGTTAGCGCCACATAAACGTTTTCCTTTGTGTGTGAGTTTGTGTTTGTTTATATAAGAGCAGGGTTTCAGGTCCAAAGCGAAAAATGCAATTACTCTGCCTGTGTGTGTCCAGTTCAGCTGTATTGTTATTATGTATTAGTCCTCCTGAAAGACCCTCATAATAGTTGTCTGTATGCTTTTTTCCTTTTGTTTTGGCCTTTATTTTGTATTGAAAAGGATTAGTCTCTGCCCAGGAGTTCAAAACCTCATATTTTTACATATTAGGAACATATCATGTTACAATGGTATGATATGATATGATATTGTCACTGGTTCGATCCCCTGAGCCGACAGTACGTGACTGAGGTGCCCTTGAGCAAGACACCTAACCCCCAACTGCCCCCCCGGGCGCTGTGGATAGGGCTGCCCACCACTCCAGGCAAATGTGCTCACTGCCCCCTAGTGTGTGTGTTCACTAGTGTGTATGTGGTGTTTCACTGCACAGGTGGGTTAAAATGCGGAGGTGAAATCCCCCCATTGTGGGACTAATAAGGGTCACTTAACTCATATAAAAGCGTCTTCTGGTGACAAACCTTTTAGTCATGGTAATGTAAGTTTGAATTGCAACATACATTAATTAGATTTGCCTAATTACCCGGAAATGGTCACGTGTGTTTCATGGTATTAGTCTAACTAGCCTTTTTCATGTCCCATTTTGCATATCGCTGGAAGAAAACCTCGTATCTCCAAAATGGTAACTTTACAGGAAAAGGAAACAACCTGCTTTACTTTTAATGTAAGTCAATGGAACCAGACTTTTTTCCAAGTCATTTTCTCCAGTTTCTTTTGGTCCATTCCTCATGGAATTTACACACATTGTAAAGAGCAACAGGTGTTTTCCGATTATGTCAAAAACTGAAAAACAACAAAAATGGAGATACGAGGTTTTCCCCCGACAGCGTTGATATATTGCTGTTATGGGATGTGTATCCTTTAGTCTATTCTTAAACAGAATCCTTGAACATTCACAACCATTACAGTCTCACTGTAACATATTTTACACTTTCTCATGAATGGGTGAAGCCTCGTCTTAGACTAAAGAGCAGTGCTAGTGGTGGACTGCCTTTTAGCCTAGGCTTAGGCTTAATCTGGGTCAGGAAAACTGGCCCATATTGTTGTGATATGATCTTGGTATCAAAATAATGATAAGCTATTCTGGGTATTGTAGGTACTTAAATTCAATCTGACATCAAAACTGATCTTGTTTACATCGTTGGTTCATGTGCCTGGTCAGGTTAAGCACAAGTTGTCATATATCATTTAAAAGGCAAGATTTCTGGGGGGCAGGGGGGGTGGGAAAATATTAACCAATAATATCATGTTTCACCTCCCGTTCCAACCCTCCGCACCTGTCATCGAACATAAATGGTCAGCTAGCTCAAAGACCCTTCTGATGCTGGGTTTCACTCTGAAACATTCACGGTGCAGAAGGACGCGCTGACCGGCTGCTTGTTTCATGAAAACCAGGTTTCAAAGACGTTCCGAACAGCTGTAGCTGTTCAAAGTTTCACACTATCTTTGGGATATTTCGAGGTTGAATATTGTTGGGAGAATTCAAGTTTGAAACCCAAACCATTGAGCATAATTGGCCTGGTTTAACTGGATGTAAATATGTGAAATGTTGAATAAAAATTTATTGTACAAACCCAATTCCAATAAAGTGGGACAGGAGCACGTTTACCATGGAGTTACATCACTTTTCCTTTTACCAGCATTTATTAATCGTTTGGGGTCTTTACACCAATTGAGGCCAGTCTAGAACCTGCACTGTCTGATTATGCAGCCATGCCGTTAAAACACTAAAAAGATGGCAACTAAAAGGCGACATACGTTGCTTCTTCACCTATGCAAGTTACCACTAATACCCCCCCCCATACCATAACAGTCTGGACAGTCCTTTATTTCTTTGGCCAAAAGAAGCCAACATCCATTATATCCATAAACAATCTGAAAGGCGGACTCATCAGACCACGATTTATGTTTCCACTATGCGTCTATTTCAGATGAGCTCAAGCCCAGAGAAGTCAGCGGTGTTTCTGGATTCCATTGTGCATAGTACGTTCTTAACCTGCGTTTGTGAAGGCAGCGACAAACTGTGTTTATTGACAGTGGTTTGTCAAAGTATTCCCAAGCAGTGATATTCATCGCAGAAGCCAGGTTTCAGTGCCATCTGAGGGATTGAAGGTCACGGGCATCAGTCGTGGTTTTTGGCCTTGCTTTTTACGCACAGAGAATTTGCCAGATTCCCTGAATCTTTTGACGTGCACTGTTGAGGGTGAAATACCTAAAATCCTTGCACATTTGCTGATTTTTCTGCTCAGTGGCGAGCCTCCTAAAGGACTAGGCCTTTCCATGAGTTCAAAACTTCATATTTTTACATATTAGGAACATATCACGTTATGATGATGTGATATGTGTAACCCCTCTGTATCGGTCTGTGACCGCTTCTTCACCAAAGCTTTGGGTTCGGGCATAGTGCCGAGTTTATTAGCTGACAAACACAAGACCAAAACGTTGGGGTCATAAAAAGGCACAAACTTCAGCTCTCAGCCCCGTCTCGCCTTACACAGAACACAGTGACCGTTAAAAGAGTGATCGTCTAGATTAGACACCATAAGAATGTGAAATTAAATCAGTTTGTTTTGATTTGATATGATTTGCTCTGCCGCTGACTGACAAGAACCCGTTTTCTGTTATGTTACTACGGCAACAATAATAGACCGTTACATCCAGAAACAAAGCTTACTAAAACAACAGAAATACATAGAAGGATATTAATAAAGTGGTGGTGGTTTGATATTCATCACAGAAGCCGGGTTTCAGCGCCGTCTGAGGGATTGAAGGTCACGGGCGTTCAGTCGTGGTTTTTGGCCTTGCCTTTTACGCACAGAGATGGTGAGCCTCTTAAAAGATTCGACTGGGCCTTTCCAGGATGCCACTTTTATACCTAAGCATATCTGAGATTACATCACCTCTTTTAAAACGTTTTCTGAACATTTCACAACGTTCCTGGTCCTAAATTGCCTCTGTGACAACTTATTTGGAACGTGTTGCAGGCATCAATTTCAGCATGACTGTAGATTTACACAAACAATGAGGTTTATGATAAATAAAACGTTACATATCTTGTCTTTGTACTGATTTCTTTTTAACACAGGTCACAGTGAATTCACGAATCCCCACTCCGAATAAAGAATACAAAATATTACGTTTGGTCATTAGACGGTGTGTCATTATAACTAACATCTTTTAAGTGTAGTGCTTTCATGCCAGCCCAACCCACCGCCTAAAAGGAAATTTCCACATTAACGGTCTGTCCGTATCTGTGGCCTGCACAGGTGTGCTCCCTCCTCTCTAGAGCTCCACCACGGCCCTCACCTGCGTGCTCCACTGTTTCCCCTGCGAGCCGTCCTGGGCTGACCGGCCCTTCCTCCTGCGCTCCCGTGCTGTCTCTCCTGCCACTGCCACCATGACACGCTCCAAAACCTTCCAGGCCTACCTGCCCAACTGCCATCGCACCTACAGCTGCATCCACTGCAGGGCCCACCTGGCCAACCACGACGAGCTCATCTCCAAGGTCAGCACTGACCATTTAACGTGCCTACATCTGTGAACATGTTTTGCTTGTTTGCTTCTTTAGTTTTGCACCGGAGCTGCATGCTGAAGCGCTACACTGTCTGTAAATCAGGCCTCACAACGGCTAAAATCTATTGTTTTTAGCTATGTGATATATTTTTGTTCTTTTTCATACACAACAATATCATAGAGTGCTGTGCAAAAGTCAGACACCACCCTTCATTTATTTAATTCAGAGCCAAAATGGCCTTTAAGCATGAAGGTTATTCATACTTCAAGAAGTATTTCTGAAGAGATCAGAGATAAGAGATAAGATTAACCACATTAATCACATTAATCACATTAAAAGATAAACACCACGAGACGTGTTTTACTGAAGCGCTGAGTTAAAGAGCTGCGTTTTCAGATGTTTATTAAAAGTGAGCTCTGAGCTTCACTGTCTAATAAAAGGTGAACTGAGCTCCACAGTTTAGAAGCAGAATAACTGAAAGAGTCTCTCCACGTTTTCTGTGTTTTACTGAAGGAGTTCAGAAGGTCAGAATCTGCAGATCTAAGATCATAAACAGACACTCTGTGATGTCAGTGGCGCTTTAAGGTCATTTAGTGCTTTAAAAACTAGTAGCAGAGCTCTAAACTCTATCCTGAGTGATCCAGACAGCCAGTGCAGCTCTTTTAAAGCAGGACTGATTTGATCTCTCTGTGTTGTTTTTTGTTAGGATGCTGCTGCGTTTTGTACGAGTTGTAAAGGATGTATAGTTTTCTTAGGAAGTTCAGTAAGAAGACCATTACAGTGATCAACTCTGCTGGAACAAATGCATCAACAAGTTTCTCTGCGTCGCTCTGAGAGAGTGTTTGAGATTATTTGGATCCTGTGAAGCAGAAAATGCAACCAACTTTTAAACCTCACAGATTTTTAAAAAAAAACTGAAAGCAGATCTCCTGAAAATTGTGGAAGCTGTAATAAAGGCAAAGCGTGGACTAAAAAAGAAATACTAAAAAAGAATTATATTTAGTGGTTGAGCTTAATTTTGAATTGATGTTTTTCTGATGCTGTACGTAACTAGCTTGTACGTAATGGCCTTTTTTATTGGAAATTAAATAAACAAAAGAGTCTCTGAAGAGAGAGTACAGTACAGGGTCAGAAACCACATAAACTAGTCTGTTTGTCTACTAAGTCGACACAGTTTGGGGCAGGGGTGTAACAGGTTAGACATGCAGTTTGCGTCCTGCTAACTGTGGGTAAAAGCTTATAAACGCTTTTATTACTTAGGCTTTGTTCACACAGCAGGTAAAAGTGGCCCAAATCTGATTTTTTCTTCATATGTAACACACATGTGTGTCTGTGTGTCAGTGTGAACAGATAAACACATTGAATCTGACATTTTCAATTCCGATTTGAGACACTTTCATATGTGGTACTGAAATCCGATACGTATCCGATATGAGGCAATCAGTCTGAACAGCCGGATCAGAATTCATGTGATTTTTACGTCAATCCAACTCGAAATTCGTCATAGTTTCACGCTGCTGAGACTCATAAATATTTGGGGTGATGTTTCTGTACAAAAAATTATTAGAGGCTCATCCAAAACCCATTTGAAGAGATTTCTACAGAAATGTCCGAACGCGGCTGCAGGAGAACGAGGCTGCAGCGTCAAAGAACAGTTAAAAGACTTAAAGCAAAGTTTAAAGAATCCGAGGACGCGAACCAAAGAAGTGACCGAGCCCTTTTTACGGCTCAAACACATTTTGGGTGATGAGCCCAGCTGTCAGTCAGTGAAGCTTCATGATGGCTCCTGTGATGCTGGTGAAGATGAAGCTGATCCTCCGGGAGCGACTGGCGTTCGCTGGCGGTCGTGATTGTTTACCTCTGGATGAGCCGTGAAGCAGCGTGACGCTCTGTTCTTTAGTGGGTCAGTTTAGGAGCTGATCTGTTCAGACTGATGTTTCACACAGATCACATTTAAAAGATAATCTGATCAGATTTGGGCCACTTTTACCTGCTGTGTGAACGCAGCCTTAGATACAGATACAAACATCTTGGCCGAAGGTAAAGGGAGAAACCATGCAAATGAATGTTTTTGACAAACTGTTCCATCATTGATAACTTAGGCATGGGAGAATTAACCTGTTTAAAAACTAATGCTGTGTTTATTACTGTGTCTGGTATCAGAGCAGGTCTTATTATCCTGTACTCAACATCACACATGGGCTGTCAGTACAGGTTTTACCATTGCATTGGGCCTTATTTACATGGCCTGCTTGTTCTGTTTAGGTTTATTGCTTCCATGTCCAAAATATTACGTTTCGCAAATCACTTGTAATGTCCTGTGATCTCAGAGCGTGTTGGCGTATGTAGGCTGAGCTGATCCCTCAAAATCATCTGCCTATGTCTGTCTGATGTCGTGTGTGTGAGTGTGTGTGAGTGTGTGTGTGTGTGAGTGTGTGTGTGTGTGTGAGTGTGTGAGTGTGTGTGAGTGTGTGTGTGTGTGTGTGTGTGTGTGTGTGTGTGAGTGTGTGTGTGTGTGTGTGTGTGTGTGTGAGTGTGTGTGTGTGTGTGAGTGTTGGCACGTCTGCTTGTGTCTGCTCATCTGAGCGTGTGGGTGTCGAGCTCAATGTGGGTCAGTATGACACTCTGGTTTTCTCTGACGTTTGTGACACACATGCAGGGATCAGAGGAAGCAGAGTTGTTTGGATTTTTGTGGGTCGCAACAGCAGCAGTAATCAGCCGTCGATGTATGTCAGAGCAGAGTGAGCCACAACACCAGAACCAAACAGGGCTTCGGCTGTCAGTAATCCGGATTTTTTTAGAAAGGGTTTTTTTTTGTTTGTTTTTTTTTGATATGATTCTAAATCAATACTTATAATTTCTTGTGTTACTGCCAAACTTTATCACCTGTCTGTAAAGCACTTTGAGCCGTCACTGGCATGAAAAGTGCCATATAAATAAAAAATATTTTGAAAATTATTATTATTATCCAAATGAGTTCCTGTCAGTGTTTCATTGAATCAAGAAATTCACACAAACAAACATGCAACAAACATACATTGCTTGAAATAATACAGGCCAATCTTACATCAAGGCGTTTTTCATAAATTGCAAGGCAAATATATAATAATAATAATATATAAAGGGTAATATAACGATGTGTTGTCATTATTCTGATAAATTACAGTCATATGCAAATATTGGCTCAAATTACATGTTTTACTGATTTTCTAATTTAAAACAAGTTAACACATCCTACATTTACAGAGACACACTTCTGTACATTTTAATGCACAATTACTGTTTATTTGCCAAATTTAAAGCTACACTGTGTAAGATTTGGGGACCTCTCTGGTGGAAATGTGTAATTGCAAGCAACATGCACAACATACTTCAGACAAAAACTAGCGGATATTTCTGGGGATTGAGAGTGCGTTGAAAAAACATTCAAAGAGAACTCAGTTAAACTTGGTGAAGGAGCGTCTTCTGAGGATGTGAGTGAATTATCTACTATTGTCATCATATCTTCATCATTATAACGTTGATTTTGCTTTGGAGAATTAAACATAGGGCCAGACTGTCTTTTTCAGCCTGTGCATATGTTGTTATTACATAAAGATGCAGATGTTATCACATTTTATATATTATACATATATGTCCAATCTGTTAAACTCAGCAAATAAATAGAAATTGTGCATTAAATTTAGCAGAAAAATGCCAGATTTAGATTTGTTTCCTTATTTTAAACTATTTTCGCTCAATAATCAACAAAAATATGTAAGTTGAACAGGGATATTTAAGCATTTGTACATGACTTTAAATCACCACACACTTTTCTCACTAAGCCTATATCAGGATTCAAACTGGCATTTTACATTCATAAATGAAAAATCAGTGTCCTATTAATAAAACATGAAATAATGAGTGAAATAATGTGCTACAAGTATGAGGTGACTGGCTGTTTAGCACAATGAGTCATGCATAATTATGCTGTGATATTTCTGTGTTCAGAGTGGTTTGCTGTGATTTCAGTGGTTATGGGAACCAGGGCTTTTAATGTCTACAGCACGACTGTAGTCATTTTATGTACTATCCCAGGGGTCGGCAACCCAAATGTTTAGAAGATCCATTTTGTCAAGTTTCAACATAAATGAAAGCACCTTGGGAGCCACAACATTTTATGTCCATTTTATTGAAGTGACGTTTCACCATCTTGGCTGTAAATATGTCTCAGTATGTGCTGAAGTCCTAGTGTAGTGAAGTCCAGACTGACTTTGCTCTGCTTTAAGCTTTAGCTCAGCTATAGCCGCTTTTCTCGCATCTCCAGCAGGAAACTTTTGCTCAAAAGTAGAACAGTAAAATGTCTCTTAATGTTCGACTTTTTACGAGGCTGAAGTCGCTTCTCATTCGCCAGCTTCTCATTTGAATTTTCCCGTTCCACCTTAAATGGAGCCTGAGGCACCAGAATGTATTTAACTATATAGAGAACTGCTGCACCATTTAAGGTGGAACGGGACAATTTGAACGAAAAACTGACTTCAGTTTCGCAACTTTTTAGTGTTCGACAGTTTCTCGTTGCAGATTAAATAGTAAACGTGAATCAGCAGTTCTACATTAACTCCAGCGTTTAAGACCATTTACTGTTAAACTGTGTTGAACGATCAGCAGAGCTTTATTTTACTGTAAAGGAGGATTATTTTATTTTTACCTACAAATCTGATTCAGCTGTGGAGCCACAACAGGACAGTAAAAGAACCGCGTGTTGCCGACCCCTGGACTATCCAAATGATCAGTGAATCTACACACTGCGTTTATTAATTATGTTCATAATGGTAAGAAGGTAATAAATGTGAAAAAATACGGGAACTGCTCTTCTTTAAATTAAAATTATGTCTTGGGCATCAGGTCGTGTATTCGTAACAGCTTTGGGTAGTAAGTTTCTGTGATGTAGCTTTCAGAGCTATTAGACACTTCAGACGTCTGGTTCCTATCAACACCACTGAGAACAATTGTGGTTTCTCCAGAATGGCTTAGAATGACTTTGTTGATAAACAAGGAAACGAAAGATGGACGATACACGAGGCCCAACCAAAAACCTTCATGCACTCCCGGCTGATTAAAGCATCGAAGCCAAGCTTGTCGACTCATAACAGGGGAAAGAGTAAACAAAAGTAAAACGGAAACAACGTGTGTGTTTGTGTGCTTTGCAGGTGTGAAAAGTACAGTTGGATCTGATCTAAACATAATCCAGCCAAAGTTTATCTAGGTCCGTCCATAATTTGTGAGGTTGCAAATGAGATGTGAGGTGACTGCATTCATTGGCCGCTTCGCCACTGACAACTGAAAAGACATTTGAATGTGTGCTTACTGACCCTGAAGCGACTGCAGGTGCTCTAGGATATAATATGCATTTTAAAGAATAGCTCCCGGCTCCCTAACACAGCGTTCAGCTGAGCCCAGCCAATAAAGAGCCACCCCGGGGATCCGTTGATCCGGGCCCATATGGCCAGGCAGCTATTGCGGCCACCATAATCACCGGCTTGCCTTTAGTTCACATCCTCTCTGGGAAACCCCATCTGCCCAAGCCTTCAAAGGAGCCATAAAGACAATGTTTGCTCTTCATTAAGGGGTGTTTGTACACCGTGCACATTTACCACACTGACAAAGCACCGTTTTACTAAACCGGAGTATTATTTTACAACGTATTTGAGCTCATTTGCTTCTGGCTTTGTCATTGACTTTACTGTGAAGCCTGCAGACTAGACAAAAGACAACCGAATCAATGTGTTTTTCTCTTTTACCTTTGCAGTCTTTTCAAGGGAGTCAAGGCAGAGCGTACCTATTCAACTCAGTGTAAGTGTCATGCACTGTGTGATTTTTTGTAATTTGTATGTACACCAATCAGGCACAACATTCTGACCACCTCCTTTCTAAGCTCATTGTCCATTTTATCAGCTCCACTTACTATATAGGTGCACTTTGTAGTTCTACAGTTACAGACTGTAGTCCATCTGTTTCTCTGATACTTTGTTAGCCCCCTTTTACCCTGTTCTTCAGTGGTCAGGACCCCCATGGACCCTCACAGAGCAGGTACTATTTGGGTGGTGGATCTGCTGGAGTTTTTAAACACCTCCGTGTCACTGCTGGACTGAGAATAGTCCACCAACCAAAAATATCCAGTCAACAGCGTCCTGTGGGCAGCGTCCTGTGACCACTGATGAAGGACTAGAGGATGACCAACACAAACTGTGCAGCAGCAGATGAGCTATCATCTCTGACTTTACATCTACAAGGTGGACCGACTAGGTAGGAGTGTCTAATAGAGTGGACAGTGAGTGGACACAGTGTTTAAAAACTCCAGCAGCACTGCTGTGTCTGATCCACTCGTACCAGCACAACACACACTAACACACCACCACCACGTCAGTGTTACCGCAGTGCTGAGAACGATCCACCACCCAAATAGTACCTGCTCTGTGAGGGTCCATGGGGGTCCTGACCACTGAAGAACAGGGTAAAAGGGGGCTAACAAAGTATCAGAGAAACAGATGGACTACAGTCTGTAACTGTAGAACTACAAAGTGCACCTATATAGTAAGTGGAGCTGATAAAATGGACGATGAGCGTAGAAACAAGTGTAAATGCAATTAGAGCATTTGTACCATTTAAACAAAAAGCCGACGCTTGTAATCTAATCACCCTCTTGACGTGATGTATTGTGTTTTGTCTATTTATCTACTCCCTATCATCTACCCCCTTCTCTCTCTCTCTCTCTCTCTCTCTCTCTCTCTCTCTCTCTCTCTCAGGGTAAACGTTGGCTGTGGGCCGGCAGAGGAGAGAGTGCTGCTGACAGGTCTTCATGCTGTGGCTGACATCTACTGTGAAAACTGCAAAACCACATTGGGCTGGAAATATGTAAGTGCCAGATCACACCAGGTCCACACACTCGCATTTAGCTCATCAAAGTATCCACACGTGCCATACACCTCACCTCACGAAGACCAGAAGCACACGCTTCTTTGTCGTCTTGCTTACCGAAGTAGGTCTGCACTGGAGCAGATCTAACGTGAAGCGCAGTGCTTGTGAGGTTTGGTAACAATAAGTGGTGTCAAACACATTAATGAATGCGATTGTGACGTATGAGGCGTAGATGCAGGACGAATGTGCTGAGCTCCTTTTATCATCTCAAAAGTCATTGCTCTTTACCCTTAGCAGGGGTACACGATGAGTGTGTGCAACACACATAACCACAGATATACATACCTAGATGCCGCGTTGGGTCCAGCCAAGCACGTCAACGGCGCCGCCATTTTGGGGAGGTCAACATCGCTGCTGGACTGCATTCAGTACCATTACAGAACGGCAGTTTAAGAAAGATACTGTCCAAAATTACACTATTTCAGGAATATTACACTCAGAAAGTGGGATAGGATTATATAACGGAGGGAACGCAGTGATCCACACTCATGTCTGTGTGATGTGTATTGTCTGTGTGGTGTTTATGTAGATATGGCCGTGTGGTTAATGAAGCACAGAGAACCTGTTGATGTGATTGTTTTTCCGCTGGTTTTATATTAAGCTTATTTCATTTAATAGTCTATTCAAGGAATGTTAATGTTATTAGTATTAGTATTTAGAAGTTATTTATTTACAGTGATGACCTGTCCAGGGTGTATCCTGCCTTCCGCCCAATGACAGCTGGGATAGGCTACAGCACCCCACCGCAACCCAGAAGGATAAGCGGTTTAGATGATGTGTGTGTGTGTGTGTGTGTATTTATAGTGATGGTTAAAGCTTTGTAGCTGGGTAAGTTATAGCCTTCCTTAATCCGTGTAGATATTCATAACAGATTAATGTTAGAACCTTCTTACACAAAGCTGAAGTCAGATTCTTATTCGCCAGCTTCTTGTTTGAATTTTCCCGTTCCACGTTAAATGGTGCAGCTTCAGGCACCAGAAAGTGACAGCTGCACCATTTAAGGTGGAACGGGAAAATTCGAACAAGAAGATGGCGAATAGGAAGCCGACTTCAGCTTCGTCCTTCTTACTGTGTTTTGGGGTTTTATTTTATCTTTATGTGTATTAAGATTAGAAGTGATTCACACACTGATGGATTTGCTGATGTGTCTGATTGTGTTTCTCGCGCTAAACTCGGTTTTTATCGTCAGGTACAGACTGAATACTTTCCTGCTGGTCCGGACGGCTAATTATCACAATCAGTTATTACAGTAATAAAAGCTACTGAGAGCAGATCCGAGCAGCCTGGATTAATCTGTGTCTGAGGATTATAACTAAACAGATTTGGTGAAAATCGGTTGAGTAGTAAGGAAGTTGAGGCTGATTTAATCCTGAGACTCTTCGTCTCTCAATACAAGTGAATTTGTTCACAAGCGGATCTTGACCTCTCCAACATGGCGGACGTGCAGACGTATCGCCTCACATAGAGAACAGCAGATAGCGCGGCATCTCGGTATGGATATGTATGCTCATACCTACCATTCCACCACCTACTAAACACAAGAGGAACTACAACACAGTCAGCCAACACAGGTGAACACAGTCCATTAATTTCAAATGATGATGTAGGAGCAGAGCTGGTCCAGGTTTGAGCAGCATGACTTGGGGCTGACTTGGAGTGGAGCCATAACGAGGCAAACGTGACAGTGATAAATTATTAACACCACTGTTTTTTTTAACGCCTTGGATTGTTCTAGTTTGGTCCTTCGAACCATCCATAGATCCAGCCTGAAGCCCAGCAGCTCATGCAATATTGCTATAGTCCACCGCTGTAGTCCTCTGGTTCTAATACAGTTTAAATGGAAAATTCTGTTGATGGCTCTCTTGATAAAACCAGGTGTTTCCAGCTGATACCGTGCAGTGAATTTGTCTATCAACAAAGAACATCAAGTCTGAAATATCATTTACAAGCGAAATGATGCTGCACAGATGACTGTCATCAGTAATATCAGCAACATCAGTAACATCAGAACCGGAGGACGCCTTCGGCAAATTACGCTGCACAGTGATCACGAAAGAACTACAGTCGTATACAAAGGTTCACCTCTGATTAAATTACGTTTTGTTGATTTTCTAAGTGAAAATAAGTTAACACTCTCAACTTTTACTGTATAAATGCACACTTACTGTTTAGCTGCTGTATTTGCACTTACTAGGAAAAAATAAATAAAAACAAAAATGTGGCCTGTTTGCAGCACATTTTATATTTTGTTTTTTATTTTTTTACCCAATATGTTAAACTCAGCAAGTAAATAGAAATTGTGCAGAAGCAATTGCATATTTAATTTTTTTTACTTAGAAAATCAACATAATGTGTAATTTCATTATGTGTGACTGTATGAACACATCAGCAACCTGCAAACGAACAAAAGCAACAGCAAAGTGAAGAGTCTATATATATAGATATATATATATATACACATGCACAAAACCTTGTATTTCAATTTTTGTCGTTTTTCAGTTTTTGACATCATTTAAAAATGCCTGTTGTGTAAATTTCATGATAATTGGACTAAAAGAAACTTACTTGGAAAAAATGTCTGGTTCCATTGACTTACATTAAAAGTGCAGTGAGTTTTTTCCTTTTCCTATAAAGTTACCATTTTGGAGATACAATGTTTTGTTCTGACAACAGCGACATATAGATTTGACATGTAGATTTATTGGTTGGAAAGTGCGACCACTGTTGCTGTCACTGTATGTCGGTCATGAAAATTGGAAACTGCGTTCACCTCATTTTCATGTTCAGGTTCCAGTTGAATTACTGAATTTTGTCCACTGATATGGCTGTAGCAAAGTGCAAAAAGAAAAAAATCTTTCTTTAGGGTTAAATTCGATCAAATAATATAAATCTGAAAAAAAACTAATATGATTAATCACAATTAACTATTTAACTCGTTTGCGATAATAGGGCTGCTGAATCTGCATCACTGTAGAACACCTCCAGATGTGTAAGTGAATTTTTAACTGGTAAAAGGAAAAATTCTGTTATTGTTTTTACCAAAACTTTGTTGTGCATCTTCAAACAAGCTGCACAGAGAACATTTTAGAGTGTATTTCCATTAGGTTGTGTTATCAGACACGCTGATAAGCTGCGATGCTGAATCCCTTGAATGCTCCTAGCAACCTTTCTCTATCTTTTGTTTGCCTAAACCACAGCAGCATCTTCTCCTTCATGTTGTTTCATCCCGTCAGCTTCTCTCTAACAGTTTGCAGAACCCACATCAGCTACTTATCTCTAAAGAGGGTCGATAGATCTGTTTGAATGATGGCTCACATTAGGGTGGGTAAGTGACTCAGATATGTCATTAATGTGAACGAAGCCTGTCCTGAAATGACTCACATGCACACATCCTGATCAGTAACGTCACGAGAATGAACCACGTGCGTCATGAACAACAAACCAGCAGAACAAACCTTCATCGCCAAGATAATTTGCTCTGAACAGCCCTCAGCTGTTCACTGTTAGAGCGAGATGATGGTGAAAAAGAGTCAGTCGCATTGCTTTCACACCGCTTACGGGCGCGAACTTCAGGCTCAGTGCTGCTGCCAGTGCTGTTCATCTCAAATAGACTTGCTTATGTAGTTGAATGCAAATCAAAACTATTGTAAAGTCCATATGTTTTGCTGTACATGCATTTCTCCCCCAAATGTTGCCAGATATTCTGAATTACAAGGTCATTAAGAAGCCAAAAATAGGAATATTCTTACATGCGAGCTAACTGTGTGTTTACGTAAGCAGACAAGTTTGCCTGTTGTGGGTGTGTTCGAAGCTATTGTTGCATGTGGGCGTGTACACTGTTGAGCTTCAGATGAGCAATTGGAAAAAATATGTGGTATGTATCGCTGTTGTCGGATAAAAAACGTCATATATCCAAAATGGTGACTTTACAGGAGAAGGAAAAAACCTACTTTACTTTTAATGTAAGTCAATGGAACCAGACTTTTTACCAAGTCAGTTTGGGCCGTTTCTTTTGGGTCCATTATTCATGAAATTTACACACAAAGTAAAGGGGAACAGGCATTTTTAAATTATGTCAAAAACTGAAAAACGTCAAAAATGGAGATGCGAGGTTTTCGTCCAATTTGCATCTCTGTTTGTTTAAAATACGAACTCCAGCTATAAGTTTACAAGTTTCTCTTCCATTTTTTGCTCTAAACTATTGGGAAAATGAAAAAACAAAATTTTCATCTGCATTTCCAGGCAGGTTGATGCTAATATCAAAATAATAAATACTAAAAAAAATAATAAATAAAAATAATGCTTCTCACGTAGGTGACAGTAAAAATCGCAGGGCAACATTAAGTTTAACATTAAGTGCTTAGTTACAAAACACACTGATCTAAACACGTAAAAACACAAACTCACACAAAACAAATAAACAACAAATTTACAAAGACACAAAACGTGTAAGTAATCAATAAGTCGACAGATTTTAGTATCCAGTAACGATTTTTTAAATTGTTTTAAAAATAGATCGGTGGTTATTAAAGTACTTAGAACTGGTCTGAGAAATGTGTTTGAACCAGTTGTTTTGATGTCGCTCCACTAGCCACGTTTACATGCAGCATGATAATCCGTTAATAATCCGACTAATAGCTCAATCGGAATAGAATATGTTCATGTAAACACGTCAGTTGGAAGAGACTAGTCTGATTGAGGCCATTTGGAATACAGTTTCTAGCCGACTGATCGAGGTGGGTAATCCTGTAAATAATCCATTAAATAGAAGAATAATATCTGTGTAAACGCCTGTATCTGATTACATTCCCTATCGGAAAGTTTAAGTCCGTTCTGATCATGTTCGTCGTGTCATAGTGAAAGTTTATACCGTTCAACATGGCGGAGCAGAAACTGGTCTGCAGAGGAGACGAAGTTTCTGCTCTGATCTTTAAAAGACGGCGGTGGGACGGACGTCCAGCTTATGTGTCTCAGAACACGACGTCTTCCTCTCGGCCTTCTTTAATAAGGACATCTGAAGGACGTTTTCCTGAGTCTGACATCATTTTTAAGTCATTAAAAACACAAGCGCTGCTCACTGCTGCCCGTCTCACTCTGACTGGACTCACGTGATGCTGGTTGTCATGGGAACGTGTACACTAAGCGGTTCTCTATGCATGCAGGTAATTTTGGATCGGATTACTTGTAGTGAGCATCTAAATAGAGATTTTCATCAGATTGTTGAGTAGAGTGAGAATAAACACCTCAGTCTGAATCTGTAATCGGAATGTATTTAATCAGGTCGGCAAAAATCTTTACATATAAACACAGACACAGTTTATTTGCATGAAGTTTGACTCATTGCTTGTCTTCCTGCGCCGTGTTGCTTAGTTAGTTAATTAAGTGACCCTTATTAGTCCCACAACGGGGAAATTTCGCCTCCGCATTCATGCAGTGAAACACCACATACACACTAGTGAACACACACACTAGGGGGCAGTGAGCACACTTGCCCAGAGCGGTGGGTAGCCTTATCCACGGTGCCTTGGGAGCAGTTGGGGGTTAGGTGTCTTGCTCAAGGGTACTTCAGTCACATACTGTCGGCTCAGGGGATCAAACCAGCGACCTTCCTGTCACAAGGCTGGTTCCCTAACCTCCAGCCCACAACTGCCTCTTGTGGTTTGCTGCTTGTCATTAAATCGTGGCTACAAATCACATACTCCCATTGGAAATGACTGGTGGACTCCTGCTCTGTCACCTGCTAACGTTACTGTACAGTAACTCTGCTGTGCGTTGCACTGTAGAGGTCAATCTCGAGTGGACTTCCTTATGTGGTTTCTGACACTGTATGACTTTCATTTACTCAAACCACTGTTTTTAGCTGTGGAATGTGCTTCTCTTGTTTTGTCTTGTTCTTTTATAGATAGCTAGCAGTAGTAAAGTGGCTACAGTAACTTTGTAGCTCCATTTCTTACTTCGAAATGTGGATGAGAAGACTTTAATCCCCTGTGTTTACACTTAGAGACAGACGTTCTCAGATGGTGAAGTTAGATGCATTTCAAACGACAAGAAGTGAGCAGCCCTTAGCGTCGTGGTGTGGGTGTCAGAATCAGGCCGATCCGCTGCTGTGCTGCCCTGTCCGGCTCTGTAAGCTCAACTGCTGTGAGCCGAGGTCAGACACATAGTGTGGTTCGCTTGTCATCCATGGAGTGGTAAGGATGCCGTTTTTCCCCATTGGTGCCATCTGTGGGGAGATATTAATAGCCTCCCAGAGCCTGATTCTCTGTCATTGTCGCTATGTGAAAGGTGATGACCCGCTGTGGTCAGCTACCGAGAAACAGCACCATGACATTCAGAGATGGCCAGCGTTTAATCATAGCATCAGTCTAACACTGAGAACCATTCATGCGGCTCTATGATATATGATCTCTGACATGCTCATAACATAGTTAACCACTGGTTTGTGTGGTTTGGCTGGGGATCGTGTATTCTAAGAACTATAAGCTGTTAAATTACGAGAAGTGGTCCACTAACATACACCAATCAGGCATAACATTCTGACCGCCTCCTTGTTTCTACCCTCATTGTCCATTTTATCAGCTCCACTTACTATATAGGTGCACTTTGTAGTTCTACAGTTACAGACTGTAGTCCATCTGTTTCTCTGATACTTTGTTAGCCCCCTTTTACCCTGTTCTTCAGTGGTCAGGACCCCCATGGACCCCCACAGAGCAGGTACTATTTCATTCTCAGCACTGCAGTAACACTGACGTGGTGGTGGTGTGTTAGTGTGTGTTGTGCTGGTCTGAGTGGATCAGACACAGCAGTGCTGCTGGAGTTTTTAAACACCTCAGTGTCACTGCTGGACTGAGAATAGTCCACCAAACAAAAATATCCATGGGAAAAACTATTTTTTTTATTCATGCCGTACTGTTTGGCAGTTTTCTTTATGTAATTTTGCTAATATGTTTTATGAAAAATTCACGTAGAAAATTCTCAACATTATTTTGACTCTCATCACCTGTTTCAGTCCACTGTCACTATCAAACAATTCGCCATATCCCCATGATTTTTAAGTGCGTAGCTGTGTGTTTTTCAGTTAATGACATTGACACAAAACAGTTATCACTGAAAAGAGTTCAGTAACACTGAGATCAATAACTGGCTCAGTACGTTGATTTATCAGTCTACTCAGGCTTCAGTGTTAGTAAAGATGCTGTTTCTGAGTTCTTCTTTAGAGTATGTCAATACATGGCGTGCACTTATTTTCATACAATAAATAAACAAGAATTTATGTTATTCTATTACAACCCCGTTTCCAAAAAAGTTGGGACGCTGTGCAGAACGTAAATTAAACTACAATGCAATGATGTACAAATCATTTAAACCATATTTTTAAAGGAAAGCACTACAAAGACAACATAGCAGATGTCGAAATTGAGAAAGTTTTTTGGTTTTGGAAAAATATTTGCCCATTTTGAATTTGATGCCAACAACATATTCCAAAAAAGTTGGGACTGGGGCCTGTTTCACCACTGTGTTTCACCACCTCTTCTTTAACAGCACTCTGTAAGCGTTTGGGAACTGAGGAGACACTGCTGCAGTTTAGAAAGTGAAATGTTTTCCTGTTCTTGTTTGATACAGGATTTCAGCTGCAGTCATGTTACTGACCTGTTGCCAATTAACCACCAGGTGTTTTTTTTAGCATTACTCAACTTTGCCAGCCTTTTGTTGCCCCCGTCCCAACTTTTTTGGAACGTGTCGTTGGCATCAAGTTCAAAATGGGCAAATATTTTTCAATACACAGTAAAATTTCTCAGTTTCAACATTTGCTATGTTGTCTTTGTAGTATTTTCAGTGTAATATAGGGTTTAAATGATTTGCACATCATTTCATTTTGTTTTCATTTACATTTTGCATCCCAACTTTTTTGGAAATGGGGTTGTAGTTCTATTGGTCCATTCATCATGAAATGTTCTCCCAACACTCTCTTTTTTATTTTATTTTTGAGATGTCTTCCTTTGCACTAAATCTTACTTAGTAAATAGTATAAAGTATGTACGGGAAATAGGGATGGATGGACCAGTGGGAGGGGGAGGGATGGGGTGGTAAGGGGGATGTTTTTTTTTGTTTGTTTGTTTGTTTTGATTTCCTGCAGTTCTGTAATGTTGTGATAAAATGCTGCTTGATTAACAGGAAACAAATATTGATCACAAAAAAAAATGAAATGTTCTCCCAACATAAAAGAGAAGCTGGCATGTTCAAATGATGGAAATACATGATGCAGTGACCGCAGCAGCATACTCCTCCGGTGCAGTTTAAAGGTGATTTCTTTGATTGACAAGTACAGGGTGAAGTAGGCTAACAGCTGTCCATTATTTTTGGATCAGCAATGTTGGGTCATGACATAATTCCTCTAGATATTAGCATGACTGAGGATGACTAACTCTCTCTCTCTCTCTCTCTCTCTCTCTCTCTCTCTCTCTCTCTCTTTAGGAACATGCCTTCGAGAGCAGTCAAAAGTACAAGGAGGGCAAGTTCATCATTGAACTGGCACACATGATCAAGGACAACGGCTGGGACTGACGCGCTCCGGCCTGCTGCAGAGAGTCTACTGGAAAGGGACGGCATATGAGTAACTTTCTGCATCTGCCAGTAGCTTTTCCCTGGAAAACCCACCCAACCTGACACACACCTAGACCCTCGAGGGTGTGAGATTTATAGCGTCAGTGCCGTCTCTCTTGTGTACGTGTGAGTGTGTGAGCGCGCGAGTGTGAGCGTGCATGCGGCCGTCAGCGTGGCGTCGAGAGCATCGCTGTAACAGAGCAAGGCAGTTTCCACTCTATACGCGTCTATGTATGTGCATCCATGAGCAAATCCAGTGCAGTCAGATACGTTCATGCTTGCATAAAGACAATGAAACCGAACACTCGGACCAGCCGAGGCTTCGACTGACCCCGTCTTCTGACCCGCTCGCAGGTTTCCCCAATGGCTGGACCCATGGAGAACAGAGGTGAAAACGAAAAATATAAAAATATACTTTAGTGCAGCACCTTACAGCTCGAGTGATTGATGACCATTTTAAAGGCCGGTGCACGTCAGAACTGCTGGCTTGTCCATCAAAGTAATTGTCATGTCTTTTTCTTTTTTTTCTTTTCCCTTATCTTTTATTGTTTGCACATGATTTATTTATACATGTATTTATTGACCGTGGGTTTGATTTGTCGTTTGGTTTGGTTGGGGGGGGGGGGCGTCGACCCTGTGTTTGAACTGTAGCAAACTGCATTGGTTCAGAACCTGACCGCTTTCTGTTGTAGAGGTCTTTGATGAGGATCCTTTGTTTTCTATTCAGAATGTGCTGTGTTTTTTGAATGTGTCTAGCGATTGTTATGTGTTGGTCAGTCGAGTTATACTTTGGGACTGGTTCACTTTCCCTTTTGTGGATCTCTGGTTAGTGCTGGTGAGAGCATCTCTGTTTATGTAGTCACCTCTAAAGGAATACTTCACGGTTTTTCAACCCAGTCTCTGTCTGCTGCATCAGTAGTTTATGGTCGGTTACCATGGACATTATTTTTAGTGAAGGTGTTTAGTAAAAAAGCAGAAAACCCACTGATTCAAAAGACACTTATAATAGAAACCAGTGGGCAGTGGCTGAAACATCCTCCCATTGTCTGCCTTCAGAAGTACGGCGGCGTTTTAGGGCCACTGTTAATAAAAATAAAAATAGTAGACTTTGAGAATAAAGTCGTAATATTTCAAGAAAAAAGTCGTAATATTTGGAGGATAAAGTGGGCTAACTGTAGGGGGGCTAACTGTAGGGGGGCTGCCATAACGCGTTGGGGTCTTGGTTGCTGTACTGGAGCTCCACTCACTCCTGTCTCTCTGTGGATCATTCTGATCATCATTCTCACTGTCTGTGAAACTTCATGCCCTCTTTGAATGGGGGGAGATGGAGCCCCGATAGCCGTGTAGACGACCCTGCCTGAGATTCTCCTTCAACAACACAGACAGACAGTTTCCTCCGAGTCCATCTGGCTCTTTATTCTAGATAAACACAGTTTCCTGCTCAGCCGTTTCAGCCGGTTCTTATACTAATAACAGGCTGGTGCCGATGTGCAGGAGAGACAGGGAGACTGAGTGTTTCTTTATGGGTGAATCGATATGAAAGTAGAACTCCACCAACTCACCGCCCCTCATTTAACACAAGGAGGGGCTGCCTTCACTTTGCAAAGCCTTTAGCCACAATATTGACCTTTCCTGGTATTAATGCCACTTTGTCGTAATTTTACAACTTTTTTCTCGAAATATTATGACTTTATTCTCAAAGTCTGCTATCTTTATTTGTATTAACAGTGGCCCTAAAACGCCGTTGTACATGAGTGATGGGGTTCCAGGTTTTATGTTCTTTTTGAAGTAACTGATCACAGGTAAAAAAAAACACTGGAGTACTCTTTAAATTTGGACAGGTGTCCGTTTCTGTTTAATATGGATTGAGGCTTTTCCACAGCCTGTGATGTCCTGCAGATCAAACCAGTACGACGTACAATGGAATCTCCCACCAAGACATCAGAGAACGTAATTTACACTCAGCTGCGAAAGGTGGCAAATTGGATGAGATAAACAAGCTGAGACTGGAGGCAGAAAACCCCTCAGCACAACCAAAGACTTCTCAACACTACGCTGACCAAACTGTGATTTCTTCGTCCGGCTTCAGTTGCGATGTTGTGCGTAAAGTCCTACATTCAATTATACGGTTATTGTTTCTTTGTGTCAATCAAAGTCGGTTTACTTTCAAGTAGTTGCTTTGAACGTACGCATCGCTCGATTATGTATTAGTGCATTCAGTGTGTATTTATTATTTGGTTATTATTAATTGTTGATTCTTTTAGCACACAATCTCGTTATGTCCGTGAGCTGATCCACTGTGGGGGCTGTTATAATTCCAACTTTTTTACTATTTGAAAATGATTACTTTGGCATCTTTTCTTAAGAAGGAAAGTGTGCAGGAGACTGAATCAGTATGTTTTATTCTGATATCAATAAAGCTCATTTTAAGAACGTGTCGGTGTGTGCATGTTTTCTGTAATTCTTCAAAAAGCATCTGTTAGAAAAAACAGAACAGCACAGCTGAAGGCTTATAATAGCAAAGGTGCTGCAATGAAATCAGATGTTTATATTGTTTTTATTACAACCCCATTTCCAAAAAAGTTGGGACGCTGTGCAGAATATAAATAAAAGTAGAATGCAATGATGTGCAAATCATGTAAACCATATTTTAAAGAAAAATAGTAGAAAGACAACACATCAAATGTTGCAGCTGAGAATTTTTTTTTGTTTTTTGAAAAATATATGCCCATTTTGAATTTGATGCCAACAACATATTCCAAAAAAGTTGGGACGGGGGCCTGTTTACCACTGTGACACATCACTTCTTCTTTTAACACTCTGTAAGCGTTAGTGAACTGAGGAGACACTGCTGTAGTTCTGAAAGTGAAATGTTTTCCTGTTCTTGTTTGATACAGAATTTCAGCTGATCATCAGTTCAGGGGCTCATTTGTCATATTTTTCATTTCATAATGCGCCAAATGTTCTCAGTGGTGACAGGTCTGGACTGCAAGCAGGTCAGTTTAGCACCCAGACTCTTTTAATATGGAGCATTGCTGTTGTAATATATGCAGAATGTGGTTTGACATTGTCTTTTGTTGGACCACAGGACACTTTTCCACTTCCCCTCAGTCCATTTTAAATGAGCTCAGGCCCAGAGAAGGGGACAGCATTTCTGGATCCTGTTTATATGTGATTTCTTCTTTGCGTTTTAGAGTTTTAACTTGCATTTGTGGATGCAGTGATGAACTGTGTTCACAGACAGTGGTTTTCAGAAGTGTTTCTGAGCCCATGCAGTGATTTCCACTACAGAATCATGTCTGTTTTTTATGCAGTGCTGCCTGAGGGCCCAAACATCATGGCCACATTTTTGGCCTTGTCCCTTACATACAGAGATTTCTCCAGATTCTCTGAATCTTTTAATGATATTATGTACCGTAGATGAAGAAAAGCAAAAGAAAGCAAAAAAAAAAATGTATTCTTGAATTGTTGCACTATTTGATGGTGCAGTCTTTCACAGAGTGGTGAACCCCTCCTCATCTTTACTTCTGAAAGACTCCGCCTCTCTCAGATGTTCTTTTATACCCAATCATGTTACTGACCTGTTACCAATCAACCACCAGGTGTTTTTTTTTAGCATTACACACCTTGCCCAGCCTTTTGTTGCCCCTGTCCCAACTTTTTTGGAATGTGTTTTTGGTATCAAATTCAAAATGGGCACAAATTTAAAAAGGAAAAACAATAAAATTTCTTAGTTTCAACATTTGATTTGTTGTCTTTGTACTATTTTCAATTAAATGTAGGCTTTAAATGATTTGCACATCAATGCATTTAGTTTTTATCCACATTTTGCAGAGCGTCCCAACTTTTTTGGAAATAGGTTGTATTTTAGAGTTACAGTACTGTGCAAAAGTCAAAAAACATCCTTCCTTTACTCATTAAGTACAGTAAATTACTAAGAAATGTCAACAACTAAATGTAATATTAAAGTTTTCAGTATTTCATGTGTCCACCCTTCGCCTTTATTACAGCTTCCATTGTTTTCAGGAGACTTGCTTTCAGTTTTTCAAAGAAATCTGCAGGGAAATTTTTCCACACCTTCGAAGTTCAGTCTTAGAAGTTGGTTGCATTTTCTGTTTCTCACAATCCAAGTAATCCCAAACACATTCAGTGATGTTGGGGTCTGGACTCTGGGGTGGTCTGTTCATTGTTCTCCTACTTTATTTGTCAGTAATGGCTTCTTCACAGCTACATCCAGAAACACCTGTTGATTTTTTTTAGATCTGAAGCAGGTGGAGCTGTATCTTCTCCTGTCTGTCAAAGATGAAAGCCTCAAGTATTGTTTATGTGATGGTGACCGTTTTGGTGTCTACCAGGTCTTGCATGGTTGTTAAGAGTCCCATTTTCTCTGGATCTTTTCACCCCTTAAATGGCCAGGACCTGCCGGCAGGCCCAAAGTTTTATTACACACCTCTATAATCTAAGAATAGCTCAGCCAGTTTGCACTGAAGTCCCTGTAGTTACTGAATAATAAGCTTTAGTATGTAATAATCCTGAGATCTCAGGCGGTTAATCATTTTACTTACTGTCATCTTTTTACTGTACTTGCTTTTTTATAGTAATAATAATAATAACAATAATACTTTTTTATTTATACAGCACTTTCATGCCGGTGGCAGCTTAAAGTGCTTTACAGACAGGTGATAAAGCTTAAGAGTAATACAAGAAATTATAAGTATTAATTAAGAATCATAAGAAAATGACATGGATCACGTTAAAAAATAAACACCACAAGATGTAGAGTTTCAATTAAATGCTGAGTTAAAGAGCTGCGTTTTCAGGTGTTTATTAAAAGTGAGCTCTGAGCTTCACTGTCTACTAAACGGTGAACTGAGCTCCACAGTTTAGAAGCAGAATAACTGAAAGAGTCCACATTTTCTGTGTTTTACTGAAGGTGTTTGTAGGTCAGTATCTGCAGAACTAAGATCATAAACAGACAGACACTCTGTGATGTCAGTGGCGCTTTAAAATCTATCCTGAATGATTCAGGCAGCCAGTGCAGCTCTTTAAAGCGGGACTGATCTGATCTCTCCATGTTGTTTTTGTTAGGATGCTGCTGTATTTTGTATGAGTTGTAAAGGATGTATAGTTTTCTGAGGAAGTTCAGTAAGAAGATCATTACAGTGATCAACTCTGCTGTAAAAAATGCATCAACAAGCTTCTCTGCGTCGCTCTGAGAGAGAAAAGGCTCACACCCAGGTTTCATACTTCAGGTTTGTTATATGAAGCTAAAGAACCAAGTTTCTCATAAAGCATTTCTCTCTGAGCTTCTGTACCAACGATCAGTAATTATTTAGTCCAGTTTTAATGCAAGTCAATGATCTTATTCTGATCTTCACAATATCACCTGAACAATTAATGAATTAATGGCCGCTTTGACTGGATATTATATAAATAAGGGGTGGTCTCTGACTTTTGCACTGTACTGTACATCTATTTAAGCCTCTTGTCTATGACTGTATGTCTATGGTAAGCTTGCAGCAAACCAAGAGGGTGTGTTCTAGTTGTGTAACAAAGCACAGCACACATAGTCCTCAGGGCCTTGCTGTATAATAGCAGAGCTGGAGACCTTTTTGTTGGTACGAGGGAGCGTGTCTGTGTTTGTGGAACAAGTGGGGGCAGTGGAACTAGGCAGCACTGTTTACAGAAGCAGATGGTAGGCAGGCTCTCCTAGCCACTATGCCAGAGGCGACCATGTGAATGACTAACATTGCTGTTTTTTCCTGGCGGAGCTGATACCATGGCACTGTTGTCTCATTCACTTTCCAACAGGGAATAGAATCAAGTGCTCAAAGCTGTTTTTGAAGCCTAAAGCTTTACATCTGTCTTTACAGTCTATTGGACGCACAACGTTCATGTAGCAAATACACATTCATCTTCATAACTGTGGTTGTCTATGTTTATAAAGCAGATTAAACAGGATTAGGCCTAGATATGAAATATCATTAAAAATAATATAATAATAAGAGCTACAGAAGCTACAGAATTGATTTGGATGGTTTTCCAAGGCCCAGTCCCATTTCTTCTTTTTACCCCTACCCTT